CCCTTGGAAAACGATTACCTTGCTCTAATACATGAAGGCTTATAAAAAAGGTGGGTGCAAGATTCTGATATTTTTTGAGTCGATGAAGAGTTTTTATTTCTTGCGAGTCAAATACCATTTATTATCCGGTATCACCAGCGCCCTTGAAAAACGATTACTATGAAGGCTACTTAAAAAAGGTAGGTTATGTCTGATATTTTTGGAGTGTAGAGTTTTTTTTTTTTTTTGGAGTGAAGAATTCTTGCGAGTTAAATACCATAATAATACCATAATAATAACTACATCGCCAGTGCACTGTTACTAATAAGTTGTGATTTGTACATCTATTCCTCTTTCCGTAAATCATCGAAAATTACATCTATTATCTCAAAATCCGGTCCGCAGGTCACGTTAAGAGAACACCTACACAAAGCAACCATATACAATCTTTTGTCGGTTATTTGTGGCTTTCCTAATGAACTTAAAAATGGTTAAGTAGATGAAAGCAAAGACGGACTGTGGCGTCTGTGGTCATTAAGGGAGTAACGAAAAACGAACAGCTTGTGTAAACGTTCGTGTGCAATATAAAACATCCTCTTATAACCATTTCAAGGATATTAGAATTTTCAACGCAAAGAGACAAACAAGTTATACACATTAAGACATATATACTAATATTATTTTTGGCAGTTATTTTTGTTAGAAAATAAACAGTAAACAAAAAGGAAATTGGCTGAAAATATATAAAACATTTGAGATATAAGGCGCGCGCTGATTGGCTGGCTACCGTGCATGTATCAGAGGACAGAGACGCACGCGCAAAGTCCTTCAAAAATATTTTATAAAAGCAATAAAATCGGATGCTTATGTCTGTACTGTGATATCAACACTCTGGGAGCTGTAGAGCACTCGAAAAGCAAGACAAACACTCGGCTACTTCTCGTCTTCTTAATATTGCTTGCTTCTCGTACTTTTGCATATATACATATGTGTGTGTGTGTGTATGTGTGTGTATGTGTGTGTGTGTGTGTGTGTGTATATCTCCAATGATTCTTAACTTTTTTATTTTTTTAAATTATTATATTCTTTTAGATATCTTCTTTCGTATACTTTTATCTATATTTCCTCTGCCGTTCCTCAAATGTTTCGTGTAAGTTAATGTTGAAATTTCTAGTAGGAGAATGTAAAGACCCCCAAGTGAATAAAGCTAATTGCATTAAAATTTACAACCGTTTTTGTCATTTATTTTTCAGTAAATTGAAAGCACAATTAATTCAAACAAATTAAATCATCCTTAATTGAAGTTGCGGGAGAGAGACAGATACCGACCTACGGAAAGCTGACAGACATCGGCTCATTGCTCTCTCAATGGGAAGTGTGGTCTGGACTTGCCTACTCTAAATCTGATACTTAAATCCAAAAACTTCAAAGTACTTACTTACTTATTTAACCTGTCATTCTGATTTTTATGGTGAATTGTACTTTACATTCTATATTTATTTTATTAGTTAATACGCGTGTGGGGTTAATGTGGAGTATAGTATGTAATATAACCTACTTTAGCATGCCAGCGTCTTCCTAAAATTGATTATCGACATTGTGACAATGTAAAGAGTACGAAACGGGAATATATTTCTCTGAGAACAAGAACAAAGCCTGAAGTTAAAATAATCATTATATGTTGATTGGCGAATATCTTATCCTAATGTTTTCGTAGATTTCATTTTATCAAGAAATAAAGGGCGCCCATCATGTAGTAATGATATCTCCTTAGATTCTTATGACTTTTAAATAACAAATCAGAGTCTCTTTGAAAAGACCTGGAGCTACTTTACCTATGCGGTTTGTAAGATCTTTGCGGAGGGCTGTTTTCACACCACGCTATCAGATTGTTGTTTTTTTTTTCTCTTTCTTTCTTTCTTTCTTTCTTTCTTTCTTTCTTTCTTTCT